CGAATGCTATATAAGCGCACGCAGGCAAGGAAGAAGTACCCACTCAACTGCGCACTGATGATGTCTCCTCGTATGGTGACGAAACGTTTGCAAGCCGATCGCCAAGCTCGGCGAACAGATCAACAGCCACCTGATCAACAACCAATAAAGTGATGCATCATTACCTCGAATCTCAACGTGTGAGTTACGCTACTGCATAAGTAAGTTCTGGCTTCGTCCAAATTTCTTATGAGGTGTGTGGATTCAAAATCACAAACAAACGTTGTACTCGTAATGCGCTACTCATAAGGTTGCTGAATGCGCTACAAGGTTGCTGAAAACCTGTCGACAGCGCACGACCGGTTTAGCCCTTCTTCGGGCTCACCAGGTAGGCGCAGTCCACGAGTGAGTTTCAACTTTATGTTCTACGATATCTCCAATATCGTAGCGACTGAAACGTGAGGTGACCTGGTGCAGCACATTCAGTTGCCTGGAAACATCACAAATGAGAGATTCAGCTGGGTTCCAGGTGACTCTCGAAAAACCAAATTAGTTTGTAAATGAGTGAATTTCGCTAAAACTTGTTCTCCTTTCAACAAGGTAATAAGGCTTGATCACGAATTGCCCACACCTCGAATGTATTCCAAATCCCGAGCACTGTAAACCGGTTTTGGTGACAGTCATGGGCACAACAGTCGACACATGCCAGTGAATGTAGAACCGTTTTAAGAATAAAGTGGAATAAACTTCGGCGCCCACGCATTCTTCAAGGACGTGACTGGTGGTGAAATTTTCTATCTCGGGTGATGTTTATGCTGGTATTTCCAATTTTTTGGTTCTTTCGGCAAGCGATATCCTATTTCATACATTGGGCGAATTCGCGACATCTCGGATGAGGGAGCAAGTTCTAGAATCCCAGCCTGCTGTTTTCACACTCCAAACCGCATTTGCGCTAATACATGCCATTCTTACCCCCTTTCCCAAGTCAGTCCTTCAGATCCCTTTGAGAACCAGAATCCTGACTTATTGCAGTTTGACTACCACATAAGTGAAGTAAAAATCCGAGCACATGAAAACCGGATTTGGAACAACTCTGCACTGAACCGCGTTCTAACCCTCAAAGCTAACAAGAGGCTGATTACAAAGAGTAAAATAGACTACCGTAAATTCTCAAGTACAGACTTGCGCCAACCAGCTTCTACCATACCTCACCTGGGAGGATGAACCGAGATCTGCAAACGGCGCACCAATGGTTTGGACTCCATCATCATCCTGCTTCGGCACGCCACGCACTATTAACCCGTAACTACTTGATTCATAAACGTAGTAGGGGTAAGATGGTTCAGTGTTTAAGGCACAAATTCACTGTGGCTCGAACCCGACCTCTGCACATCGACTTCCCCTGCCTAGGCTTGGGCGACCTTGCAGTATCCCAGCCTTCGTGTTTCCTCCGGGTGGCATAGTAGCTAGGTACCGAAAGGGTGCTACAGCTGAACGATTTTTCCCATATAAACATACGATATTTCACCTGGCCACCACCCGAACTTATTCGGCATCTGGTGAAGTATTCTACGTTTAAAGAAGCATAGAGTGCTACTGACAAGACAGTCACCAACTTGAAAGAATACCTTGCAGAAACTTCTCCGACAGGCGACAAGCGATTTCGCTCTTTGTGGGGCCCTCTAGTTAGGCATGGTTTTCGAGTTTCCGTTAACCGTATGTTCTAAGTAAACACAAAATTGTATGCAACTGGTGAAATACAATTGTCTGAAAATCCCATTGCTGTTAACAGGTAACTCCGTTGAATACCCCGTTTATGATAATTCAGCTGTCTCCTTTTAACACCAATGTACAAATAGGTGTATTTCCACAGTTACCAGCTGTTTCAATAACGAAGATTTTCAGTAGTCAAGCAGACCAAAAGTTATTGACGCGCAGTCGCCTGCAGCCAACGGATAAATAACATGTAAGATGACCTTATTGAAATCCTGCGTGACTACATTCGCAAGTAACACTTGAGGAGTAAAAAAGCTGTTATCTTGCTCCATGCTAATTCCTACTAGGGTAAAAGCCCAGACTGTCCGTACCTCAGTGCCGTTCTGTTGTGGAGGGCTTCGCAACACAGTCCTGGTGCTGAAACCTTGAGTCCTGATCGAAAGTGACGCATACACAATAGAAAACTCAACTGCTCAATCCAGTTTCATAATTGGGTTCGTTTTTTGTTAAACTGAACTGACTGAGCCCACCATTGAGGCTATAAAATTACACAGGACGTAAATATTGGTTGATCTTCAGGCCATGTCTCATTCTTCGTGTCTTTTAGCTGGTGAGACTAAATGAGTCGTTCTTATACTCAGGACCTACAGATGATTAACGAGTATTACTGAAGTGGACACATCCTGCTGCATCCTCATAGTTTTATCGACACGAATTACTGTAACAGAACATCTTAGTTTCTCGCTTGAACGCTGAAATCACCATATGGAACACTTTTCTACGGTATACCCGAAAAGCCCAAAAAACATACCATGTCAAAGAACGCTATTCACCCATCCATGCTAGGCACAGAGTAAAGGCGACCGGTTGATTTCCTTTTCGTAAACATATCCCCAAATGGTGAGCATAATAATAAGCTGAACTGCAGAAATTTAGCGCCGGTCTCAATCACATCTCACAATACTGCAGATGACGCGAACGTATGCACATTACATCAATTTGAGAGTGTATGGGCTAAAACTTGTTCTCCTTTCAACAAGGTAATAAGGCTTGATCACGAATTGCCCACACCTCGAATGTATTCCAAATCCCGAGCACTGTAAACCGGTTTTGGTGACAGTCATGGGCACAACAGTCGACACATGCCAGTGAATGTAGAACCGTTTTAAGAATAAAGTGGAATAAACTTCGGCGCCCACGCATTCTTCAAGGACGTGACTGGTGGTGAAATTTTCTATCTCGGGTGATGTTTATGCTGGTATTTCCAATTTTTTGGTTCTTTCGGCAAGCGATATCCTATTTCATACATTGGGCGAATTCGCGACATCTCGGATGAGGGAGCAAGTTCTAGAATCCCAGCCTGCTGTTTTCACACTCCAAACCGCATTTGCGCTAATACATGCCATTCTTACCCCCTTTCCCAAGTCAGTCCTTCAGATCCCTTTGAGAACCAGAATCCTGACTTATTGCAGTTTGACTACCACATAAGTGAAGTAAAAATCCGAGCACATGAAAACCGGATTTGGAACAACTCTGCACTGAACCGCGTTCTAACCCTCAAAGCTAACAAGAGGCTGATTACAAAGAGTAAAATAGACTACCGTAAATTCTCAAGTACAGACTTGCGCCAACCAGCTTCTACCATACCTCACCTGGGAGGATGAACCGAGATCTGCAAACGGCGCACCAATGGTTTGGACTTCATCATCATCCTGCTTCGGCACGCCACGCACTATTAACCCGTAACTACTTGATTCATAAACGTAGTAGGGGTAAGATGGTTCAGTGTTTAAGGCACAAATTCACTGTGGCTCGAACCCGACCTCTGCACATCGACTTCCCCTGCCTAGGCTTGGGCGACCTTGCAGTATCCCAGCCTTCGTGTTTCCTCCGGGTGGCATAGTAGCTAGGTACCGAAAGGGTGCTACAGCTGAACGATTTTTCCCATATAAACATACGATATTTCACCTGGCCACCACCCGAACTTATTCGGCATCTGGTGAAGTATTCTACGTTTAAAGAAGCATAGAGTGCTACTGACAAGACAGTCACCAACTTGAAAGAATACCTTGCAGAAACTTCTCCGACAGGCGACAAGCGATTTCGCTCTTTGTGGGGCCCTCTAGTTAGGCATGGTTTTCGAGTTTCCGTTAACCGTATGTTCTAAGTAAACACAAAATTGTATGCAACTGGTGAAATACAATTGTCTGAAAATCCCATTGGTGTTAACCGGTAACTCCGTTGAATACCCCGTTTATGATAATTCAGCTGTCTCCTTTTAACACCAATGTACAAATAGGTGTATTTCCACAGTTACCAGCTGTTTCAATAACGAAGATTTTCAGTAGTCAAGCAGACCAAAAGTTATTGACGCGCAGTCGCCTGCAGCCAACGGATAAATAACATGTAAGATGACCTTATTGAAATCCTGCGTGACTACATTCGCAAGTAACACTTGAGGAGTAAAAAAGCTGTTATCTTGCTCCATGCTAATTCCTACTAGGGTAAAAGCCCAGACTGTCCGTACCTCAGTGCCGTTCTGTTGTGGAGGGCTTCGCAACACAGTCCTGGTGCTGAAACCTTGAGTCCTGATCGAAAGTGACGCATACACAATAGAAAACTCAACTGCTCAATCCAGTTTCATAATTGGGTTCGTTTTTTGTTAAACTGAACTGACTGAGCCCACCATTGAGGCTATAAAATTACACAGGACGTAAATATTGGTTGATCTTCAGGCCATGTCTCATTCTTCGTGTCTTTTAGCTGGTGAGACTAAATGAGTCGTTCTTATACTCAGGACCTACAGATGATTAACGAGTATTACTGAAGTGGACACATCCTGCTGCATCCTCATAGTTTTATCGACACGAATTACTGTAACAGAACATCTTAGTTTCTCGCTTGAACGCTGAAATCACCATATGGAACACTTTTCTACGGTATACCCGAAAAGCCCAAAAAACATACCATGTCAAAGAACGCTATTCACCCATCCATGCTAGGCACAGAGTAAAGGCGACCGGTTGATTTCCTTTTCGTAAACATATCCCCAAATGGTGAGCATAATAATAAGCTGAACTGCAGAAATTTAGCGCCGGTCTCAATCACATCTCACAATACTGCAGATGACGCGAACGTATGCACATTACATCAATTTGAGAGTGTATGGAATCCTAATCAGTACTAGAAGGGTAAATTATTGATCAATTATTGTCTGAAATCGACCTGGTTTGTATGCCAATAAATCATGCACGAATTCGGTGCTTGTTTATCTCAGTTGGAAACACATGAGTGAAAATTCACTGGCGGAAACTCCCATGTTGTCTTTCCAATGTTCTGTAATTGACGTGGGAAGAAAACTATCTTGGAGTGAACAATCCGGATTGTTGTGGGACTCAGTTGCTCTTCTACCAGCTGAACAGAAAGATTTGAATTCTTCTCTTATTCCGAAACCAGCTGCGCAAATAAACGGGGTTGCCATGAGAACGATAGCAAAGGAACACACCTACACGTGTGCGGTTAACGTTAGAACCAGCGATAATGCACACTGTGCATGTTTCCTTGAGGAGAACTAATGACGGTAGAATGAGCAAGCCTATTCATACCTTTGTCTCTTTCCACATGTCCGTTAGAGAAGAATGAAAAGAGTGACGTCTTTGGGCAATTGGTCGCAAACATAACGAAAGTCAAACAGAAACGATGTTTTTAAGGGAATCCCGGAAAATGATATCGAAGGAAAGAATGTACTCGAACGATCCAACATTGCAGTACATGCTTGAAAGTCAAGTAGCATTAGGGCGTCCTACGGGGCGTTTTGAGGTCACCTTAGAAACATAACATTATCGGACGCATGTAGTCTTCCTACACTCTTCAGACAGAACGTCAAACAGAGAACGGATTTCGAGAATGTCCAAGTAACAGCACCACAGAAGACTGTTGGACCTCTGGTTGCGGCAGACTACGGATTAACCAAAGAATTGTCAGGTTTAGTCTTCACAACTGATAGAAATGAATTCAGTAAATGTAGCAGCGCTCCTGTCAATCTCGCGGAGGCAATCGTTCCGAACCTTCCTGAGTAGACCCGCCGGGTCACTACAGCCAATACAGAGTAGTAAAGCTCATAAAATGGTACGATGAATTTATTACGTTTAAAAGGGGGGATGAGAACAAGGAAAGTAGCGACGATAGCAGTATTAGTGGTGTCACATCTAATGGGAATAGAGGGATGATGCGGTTTGATGCACGAACGGCTCCGGCGAACTGATTTGGCAGTCAGCGTCATAATAGGACAAGCAAAGTTCATGTTAGATACTCGAATAGACTGGATATCACAGAATGGACAGACTGATGACTGAAAACAAATGCAATTCGACGGTGGACGAGGATGCCCTGATTATCGTATGTGGCGTGTTGTCTGGAAAACGACAAACAACACAGAGAGATTTCTTGCTGACAGGTCGCTCAACTGTAATCTCTTTGGAGAAGCTGGGTAGTATTCAAGAGATTCAGCTGTCTGCACGATCCAATAAGCACCAAAACCGAACGTCCTTGTCACTAAAATGAGTAAAAAAGTAGCGGAAATGAGCGTATCATATCCCAATGGCGATAGAAAAAGGTAAAGATCAACAAGACATTGAATTTGTAGCTAGCACCCGGTATTTGATATGGAGCTCGACCACCATGCTGTGTTAGGACTAGTGGCTCACTAGAGATCATTCAATAGTGGGGAATGAAAGTATTTCAAAGTTCATTTTTCCTGAGGTCACCCCTGGATCCACAGACAAGCAATACAAACCCACCATTAGTTGTTAGTAGGAGCTAGAAATACATAGGATCTTGTAAAACACAATCTGAACTGAACAACCAGGGAACAGAACGAAAGTATGGAACCGTGAGATTTCATATAAACAGTCAGTGAGCATGCTAGTGCGAGGAACGAAGCATATGGAAGGTAAACCTTTAACTGAAACAATGTTAGAATCGGAAACCTACATGAAGCCAAGGATCATTAATGCGCCAGATACGCAGCTGACATCGCTTTTCGCTGAAGGCAATGTAATGAGCAATGAGTTATGCAAGCCACTCACAAAAGGCGCAACAAGCTTGAAAGAGGCCTTGAAAAATAACCATGGGCGTAGTAACATTCGAATTCATCGTAAAATTTCATTCGAAGGTTAACATTACTTTGCCAAAAATCCACTAATGCCCGACCTGTCTGTCCTGACCATAAACGTGGAACGACTGTGAGGTCCCAGGGATTGTCGTTCACGTTATCCAAACAGTGCCCAAACCAAGAAAGCAAAGTTAAGGATGGAGAAATAACTTACCTTCCAGCAGTGAATATACGATCACCATGGGTCCGGATTGCATTGATAGCTCCATCATGAGCGTTGGGTACTTCACCTAAGCAAGTGCAGTCTTCAACATTCCACAACTTCAGCGTCCCAGCACGACAGCCACTCACCAAGTTCATCCCATCAGTTGTTATGGCCAAGCCCTACAAAAGAAGAGGTGGACAAATAATCCTGTGAACTGTCTGTTTGTGGCACGCAGGCGGTAGCATCACTAAAGTTCCCATAAAAGAGTACTTCGAGTTCATAGGCCTTAGAATGATAAATGACTAATGCGATCGGACCCACACATAAGTAAAGTATCTTTTTACGTTTTCAATGATAGAACGATATTTTGAGACCTCGGTAGAACAAACGATGAAGTATAGTGATGACACACGGACGCTAATGGGACCAGCTAAAACCCGTCATCTGGGGCGCGTTCCTCCTTAAGACTATATCTTTCGTAGCATCAACATGCCTGAGAGACTTTTCCGCCATCAACTTATACGCCAATAATGGTTCGCCGGCATCCTATACGAATTTGTCTGTCAGTAGTGGTTGGAGCACTGGATGCCCGCGCAGTTATAATGCCACAAAGGATTCGCGCCGGATCGGTGCCACTGCGGGTAATCATGTGAATTCCACATGAACATAATGATTGGAGGCAGACACACGAAAGATTGCTGACACCCATTGGTCAGCTTAAGAATGGTGACACCGCACTAAACAATCAAGTACTGGCACCCCTGATCAATTCCTCTAAGTTCCGGTAGACCGGCTGTTGCCTCACGATAGAAACAGCACTGGTGTTGCACAAGTTCCACTTTCCTCAGGCGAATTAGTCCATACGTTGAGGAGCTTCATCAGTTTGGTGTTAGTGATGGTACGTTCACGGTGAGTCAATTACCAAAGGATAGTCTCTGTTCAAGTGGTCAGACGGCTAAGTCTAAAATCGAAATCAGTGTTTCCTAAGCTCACACGAAGCGTGGGTCTATATCGTAATTCCTGCCTTCCTCGAGCTCTCCGAAAAAAACCTTTTGCGCCGTTTTTCCCCAGTTGGAAAACAGGAGCCTCTAGTGATGGACAACAGTCATTTTCGAGAATGAATGTTTTGTATCGGGGCTCACAGAAAGTAGGATGGTCCTCGGATGATAAGCATAATGTATCATTCAGGAAACGACCAATGAAAGGGCAGGCTTATTGAGTACAGAATATTAATGTATGGCTCAGAAAAAACAGCACCAACCTCAATCCAGTCTTTGTGTGCTTGCGCCAACATGACTTCTTGACGTCCAGAGCGACCAAGATTCCATTTCTTAATGACGCCGTCGCGTGATCCGGAGAACAGAGTATTCTTATCCAGGGCCAGAGACTCAATACCGTCATAGTGAGGGGGCTCTAAGTCAAAAGTAGGTGTCAAGAGGGCGGACGCATTTGGGCCCACGCTGAAAACCTTGATGTAATGGTCCTGAGTGAAGAAAACAATAGCCACTGATGAATGAACACGCCTGATATGTAAATCGGAGAAACATGGGCGACCGGCAGACAATCGATTATGAATTTATCAAGCACGTAGATTTGTCCAATCTCGTGAGCACATTGAACAAGCATCGATGGACCCTACCCCTATCTTGTTGTGTTCTTCTGTGCGGTTTCTACAAAGGAGTCTTTTAAGAATCGACGGCAGAAGAGCGAGCCGTTTATTCAATTTCCGCACTGATTCAGTGGCTAAAATCACCCACACATCCGAAGGACAGCAGGTGAAAGGATATAACAGACGTATTAGAAAAGCTGGACAAAAGAAAAAAGTTGGGCATATAAATCGAGTCCGCGCACTCTGTCGTCTACCGGACCAGCACGTGCCAACTGAGCTAACACAGGCACTAACTAACTTGGAAGATGCAGTCGATTCGCTACAGTCTCACACGGTCCAACAACCGAAACGCAAACGAGAACACCGATGTCCTCTATGATGACGATAGAGATTAAGTATACTATTCACACACAAACGCCAACTCAGGATGTTTATCTCACAGCTTTCAAGGATATAACATACCGCTCCCCGAGTGTGCTGGATGAGGCAAGTTAGCAATCCAATTGAAGAAGAGCTAAACCATAAACAAGTCAACGTATTGATCAGAGACAGCGCGGAAGTGTAAGGGTCCGATTGAAGTCACCGAAAAAGACAAAAATGATGGTGCTACCTGACACGAAGGATAACCCATAAAATCGAGGGGGGAGGACGCTGCACGCAGAACAGATAAAAGTGAGGTCATACTATGACAAGAAAGTGGATTGTATGGGCTACCGATGACCAATAAATCAAGAAGCTCTTCCTCTGCGACCGTGGTGATCAGCGCAGCAGAAGGAGTCGGAAGGTGCTTTGGATATGCGCGATTCTGTCAGACTTTGGGTGAATTCCTGGAAATCATATAAGATGGGTTATCTCCGAATGCACCAAAGGCGACAAAAGCAGTTGATCACTTAAAATCCCACCAAACTATGGGACCAGGATACTCACCAACAGAATGGACAATCATCGGTAGATAGGTGGAGCAGTGCAATCCATGTGTATTGTGGGAAACGATATCAAAGTAACCTTTTTTTTCTCGATTATCTCCGCTCCCATTCAACTTTCAAGTTCGCAACACATCTAAGTCCGGGCGCCTGTTCGCTCATTTCTTGGTTAATTTTGAGTAATTATGCACCGGACTCGTAGAATATTATGTTGCATGTTGAGAAAGTGGGAAACGCTATTAATGTCAGCATAAAACCTGGGTGTGCAATATCTTCCAATTGCCGAAATATAACGTTTTTTCATCGTTCCCATTAAATTGGACCGAAGTTTAGCCTTCAGATCCCATTACAAGTTCATGACTCCTCTCTTTAGTCCATCCTCTGTATGAGGAGGCTTGTTCTAGATGTATATGGGGCATATCATTATATTCCAGTTTTACGCCGGTTTACATCCATTAAGCCGTATGGATTGACGCATTGTCATGTTCAATTAAAATTCTCCCTACGTAACAGAAGCAAACAATCGGAAGTGACCCGGTATAGGAGGCGATCATGAGTTTTCCGTCTGGTTTACCGGCAAGATGTTCATCATCCATCTCACTAAACACAAGACCTATTGTGACCAGTCTTTACTCAGGTCACGCTAACAACAAACCAGCATCTGGACTGCCTGAGCCGCATTATTATTACTGTACACCTTATTCCTCTACTCATGATTTTATCGAAAATGCTACTAGTGTAACGGTGATGCTACTGATCGGGAGGCACGCGAGTAGTATGTGTTGTTCGTAGAATTTCGCTTTGCGTCGATTGAAAAATGGAATTCTTTTGCGGAATTCGTGGGGCCACTTCGTAACATTTGCTTTTATTTGACCGACGAATGATTGGAGGCAATGAATCTCCAGGAAGTCTCGTTCGGGAGAAGATCTGTGTCCAGTTTTTGTAACTAAGATGCAGATTAGAGTTTTACTTCCTTGTTCAATGGTCTGTAACCGGTCAGTTGGCATTTCCGAATAAATGACTTCGCAGCGAAGGACTTCTTCCTTTCACTAGGTTGAATCTGTTTCATGTGCGTGCTAGACAATCAGAGAAGACCCTTCCAGTCCGAGTGTTTTAAACGCGGAGGACTTTCCGGGCAAGCCTAACGTATAAATGCAAAGTAGTGGGAGTGCTCGCTGTTTAGTTATTTACTACTCTCAGCAATTTCCGGCTAGCACTGGTGTATACAACTTTCGGAAAACCAGTGTAACGGAGTCCACTGAACTCTTACCGAGGGCAAAACTCACCAATGGGTGTCAACCACAATCAGTAACTCTGTAGTTGTGGTCTTGGAGCATCACTAGGTCGAACGCAGCTAGGTAGCAGTGATCGAGTGAATCAATGGGTGTTCTTGATAGCATTTCGCGTTCTCTTAGCACGCGACACGCTCTAGGAGTGGCTACGTAACATCAAATTTCTTGTAAATCCAGTGAAAGACAGTTTGGGAAGGTGAAGTTAACAGGGTGAATGAGATCAGAAGAAAATATCTCGCTCAATAAAACTTTGCATGTTATGGGGAGAAAGGCGAAATCCACGTGGACACCCTACGTAAAGTTTGGGAGCTTTTAAAGCAAGTTCCACCTTTCCATACCATTTAAAAAAAACGCTTGAATTCATTGAGATCTACTAGAAGAATTACAAGTTTGACTGGATAATGAAGATCTTAACTTATAGAGTTAGGACGGTTTTTCTCATGCTTTAGTCCGGAGATGATGCTCATCTATCAGCACCCATGCGTGTAATATTATAAACTAACCTTAGATCCTGTTACCACAGTTAGTTGTGGCTCATCCGCAGACGACAGTGCGGGTGTTTGACCAGCAGCGAGGACCATGACAGGAGCTTGATGAAACCCATGCAATTTTCCCACAGCAAAATAACGCCTGAGATCCCATAATTTCACCGAGTTTGCAGTCGCCAGAAACATGTAGTGTGACAACGCAGGATGAGAACCACCAAGCGCCACATCCATTATGTTCGTTTCACCGGGAGGACAAATATTTTGTCGTCGAGTCACTTTCATTTCCAGTTCACCATCTTGACTGAGACCAGAAGACCTAGAGTAAGATACCAAAGGAAATACTGAGGTTGAACAGGTCAATAGTGTCACGTCATAATGATGATGAAAAAGCATATAAAGACGTTTTGGTCCGAACGGGAACCTTGTAAAAAAAACCGTCCACATGACATGCATCACACACAAGGCGAAAGTTTAGTTTACAACAAATGAAGATAGAATGAACATTAGTCTGTTGATTAACTGACTTACAGCAGGGTTCGTACGCATTTCCTCGCGTCCCGTCTATCCCACACTTTGATAAAGTATGAGCACACAGTAAACACTAGGCCGGTAACTGGACATACACGGACTTTACAGACATTATTAGGATGGTCACGCAGGGTTTCTACCTCCTCCATTGTCTCCAGATCCCAGATTTTTGCAGTCCGATCTGAAGAGTGAAATGAGATAAACAAATTACAGCAATACAACGAACCACTTGGTTATGCATTGGGTATTATGACCAGCACCTAGGCCTGCTAAAGACGCTATAGGGGGAAAATGAATCATGCGGGTGAGGCTAATGGAAAACAACCTCAATTTCCAAACCAAACATTCACTCAAATCCAAAGCCCGAAGCTTATATAACAGATATATATCAGCTTTCACATCAGATAATTTTTCACGACTGACAATCGGTTAGGATAGAAGACTAGACTAACCACGATTAGATGTATCGTCTAAGTTCACAAGTGATCAGAGCCCATGCATTCCAAAACAAGTGAGGAATCTGCATAAATTCGGTGAATGGTGCTTAATACGATAGTAATAAAGTGCAATTGCTAACCAGACAATTGTGTTACAAAACCTTATACCCGGGAAACCGCAAAATGGCAAGAGGCCAAGTGTAGCCGAACTAATCGGGAACAAAAAACTGTCAGTAACGATGCAGCCATGCCCTTACTGGGTAAAATATCAACCAATCGGAACTGAGTATTTTTAGCTCGGTGCTTTGCACCCCAACACGAAGATTCAAGCAGGACTGTGTATGGGAACTTAAGAGCACTCTATGAATAAACATGTGGCGAGCTTTCTTTACCTACGTGAAACAGTATTTCAGGCTACTATACCCTTTGAAACATCATAGCAGATGGAACATCAACCATTTTCAACCGGACCCTGTCGCGATGCTGCTGACAAGATAATTCATCCACTCGGAACTGATGAACTCATTAGCAATCGTCACCTTCCTTAACAACCCATGGAAATACTATCAAGACCCAGAAACGACCGACCCAAAGGGATTCCACGATAAGCTTCCACCTAGTTTTTTAGATAAGAACCGTCTTCGCGAGTGCTGAACAAACTAGCAAAAGTCAGGAAAATCGATTTTTTGCCAACACAGCGGAAACCACAGAAATGCAGACGAAATGCGAAATGTTTGAACTGCTTCCACAGGAACTTTGTCAAAATAAGACTAGTAATTTCTTCTTTTACTCATTGTTAGCGAATGAGTAAAGCGGTGGTTAACTGATGGAGAAGCTAACAAGTTAACTTAACAAATATGGGGAGCCTGATATGAGCAGTATTGCAAACCGAAAGTAGGAGGAGTACCTTTGCTACCGGTTACCATCAAGTTTCCAGCGATCTCGACATCTAGTATAGCGCTCGAGTGTCCACGAGCAATATGTGTGCACTCCATCGGGACACGGAAACTAGCGGAAGTTTGGAGTGATTGCCCCGGTAGGTTCCCACCGAAGGATGTCGTCGAAGTACTGCACGTAGTAAGTGCTGCTGTGCTGGGTGGTTGTTGCACAGACAAGTTGGCGAAGAAAGCAGCCAGCGGCTGGTTGGACGTGGACGACGGTACACCGTTCGCGGATACAGTCACTGATGCAGCCGGACTTGTGGTGGCGGGTTCAGCTAGCCGGTAGGATGCTGGTGGGCTATGAGAGACACTGACAATGTTCGCTGAAATGCCGGAGGTAGGACTGGGAGGAGCAGGAACACTCCTTTGCAATGGTTGTATGGAACCACTGAAAAAAAGAATATGGGTACGCTATTCGTAGAGCGAAGTGAAAGAAGTATGGTCGGCCGAGTTGGATGAAATCGGGTAAACAACTATTATTCGTGACTACTGAGTCAAGAGACAGTAGTGAAACGAGGCAACCTACAGCTCATGTATTACTAGCTGTAAAGATGGCTTATCCGTTGCACGCCTAACTCTCCGCAAATGATTGGACATAATCCAGGCCAGCTTTGGAAACAAAAGAATCGCTATTAGCCTGGAGAGTGCAGTTTGTTGAGGAATGCATAGAAAACTAGGCAAGCTGTACTACAGAATTGATGAGGGTGAAATTCGGACTTGGACTTTGCGCATACACGAACTGTGATGACAGGTTGACATCAAAGAGAGTTATTATAGCTCAGAAAAGAACTAATTTGTACTTTGGGGAATACACATGCAGCATATTTGAAGCTACAAAATAGAAGTAGCCCATCCCTTTGAGGGAGATCTCATAGTGCAAGGATGCCGTTTAGGGATGTAGCACCATTCGACTGTTTCAGCAGTCCACGCACTAACATTTATCTAGGTGCATCAGCAGGCACAAGTATCACCATACAGTCTAGTACGATTACATGTAACAAAAGACCAATGTTCCGGTAAGATAGGTTAATATCAACTGAGGCATTATTAGCATGAACCTCGCAAAGTCTGTGCACTTTACAGCGACTGCTTCATTAGTAGTCACTTTGAAGTGGAAATGCGGCTGGTCAAATACTGAGGAAATTTGGCATGACTTAAAAGAGACGATACCCCAAGGGAGCACGGGAATTAAGCAAACCCGACAATTAAATAATCCAGGCACAGAACTTAAGCCATGTTATTTGTTACACAGGTATCGGCTGCCAGAATAGCCCTATCATTAAATGATGCCCCAAAACGGAGGAAAAACTTGGTACACACAAAACGTCCCCAACGTCTTGCTTCTAGGACTGATTTCTATGAGAAACTTACCGACTCGGATGTGGTGAGCTGGACATGCCACTAGTCAGCCGGTTGAAAACATCAATGTCTGTATTGCCTTGTACGGCTGGGCCAGACTTCACCTCATGCTTAGCGTTAGTATCGGGGACCTCACTGTAAATTAACAAAGTGAAATTTAGCACAGACACTAAAGTTTCTCCCATATAAATTAAATAATATGACTTGTTTGTATAGACGAAATATCAGCAGACAGTGTTAGTCATAAAAAGAAAACTTACACCAAGCGTAGTCCAGCTGAGCAATTAGTCGTTATTTTCTCGATATGGTTGGTCAAAGTTATTGAGCAAAAGAATCTCTGCCCATTCATGTGCGATAAACAAGATGAGCAAAAAGTTATGCGACAAAAATACCGATGCTGATAAGTAGTGTTCGGGCTTAATGCTTACACTAGGAAGTGATACCCAAGTTAATGAAGGTGTGGTCAGACCCGAAAAAAGAATGCGTGGTGAGCAATTAATCTGATTATTCACCAGCAGCTCGACTAACTCAACGTTTGGTTCACGCATCTTCGGAGAGTCCTCAAGAAGGAGGACGATGTCCTTCCGTATCCGTTTTTTACAGCCGAATCCCATCTATAGAGAGCAGTCCGCTCGAAAAAGAGCCAGCTTACGCAAACAGTTCTCAATCTGGAGTGGATCAGTCACCTGAGTAGTTCAAACATGAATAAAGGAGAAGGAATAAACCATAAGGACGTTATTGTTCCACTGGTCAGATTGACATTAGTACATATCTTGGGTCAAGGATGAAGTCTATCCAACAATCAGCAGTGAATGTGGAGGACGCTCCTGTCCAACCAAATCTCTTTTGAAAAAGGTTTCCTTTCGAGAGCATGCATGATTTTAGTTATGCATAAGCAACAAATAACCATGCAGGGGGTAAAGCATACAGTGGCGAGAGAATAGAGGATTTCTCCCAAACAGACCACATACGAGTCTAGAGATGTTTCGATTGCTTATTATAGCGTACTAAAAATCATATTGTGACGAATCGGCTTCGTTATTTAGACGAACAACATTATCCGTTCCGGGAACCTTAAACTATTTCTTCGTATTCACCAAGAGGTCCAATTAGTTTGTTTCCATAGTCAACCGAATAAAAATGACGTCACATGACTAGAGAGACTCACTTTGTCGACGTAGTTTGCGAACCCAATGTAAAGGAAGCTGACATGGAACTCGGTACACTGTGAACTATTGGAAGGTTTTGGCGCATCGAGCTCGCGGGCTGAACACATTGCGTTGGGACACGACGACGAACAGCTGGAGATGGACCGGCACTGAGAGGAACAGTCTGGCTCCTGAGTACTGACGTGGAATCAACGCTAGGGGTGTACATCAATTGGGCACCGGTGGTGACAAATGGTGGAAGGGCTGTGCGTGCTCGGCGGAGAAAAACGCTACTCGACGGTGGAGGCATTATATCGGGAGCTGAAGAATCAGGACCTGGAGGACCTTGTGTTGACGACAGTCCAAGCATATCTTGTGGAAGCAGCACTCTGAGTCGAGCCTGATTAGGAGCGAGCAAGCATAGTGTAACACTCAATAGTAAAACCTGTGCAACACACAAGACTGGAATTCATGTACTGGCTAAGCTACCTTTGCTTCCTTTCGTAATGTGTTTCTCCTAAACACAAATCACAACCAACTGGTCAACGCCAGTAGGAGAAATATATACATCTGTCAGCATGGGTGTTATTCCAGGAGATAAACGGCACCTCCAGCCCTTGACAATCACGAAAATCAAATGTATGCTTCAAAACCGCTACAATGACTTGAATTCCAAACAATAAGCTCTGTAGTAAATCATGAGTAGGTGCATGTGGAGCCAAACGCCATTACAAATAACGACCTGGTTGTCGCAAAGTTAACTGATAAGTAAGCTGATCAGTTTGGCTGTATTGAACTACCATGGGCTAGTAAGGGAGCGCCGCCCGCCAACAAAAAAGTTGCTTTTACTCTACATTGCTTGAAAGTCATTCTTTAAATTAAAGCATGTAGGCTTCGTGAAGCAGAAGTGTTTGGCAGCTGCCATTCCAGAGAGAGTTTAAAATGCGCTGAAAATGGAAAAAAATTGAAATTTTCTACCGCAATAATTGTTCATTAGGCAATTTGATATATGGCGGAGAATTAACGCAGCATACCGCATCCCAGCTATTGGCTTGCCTACTTACAACCTAACCTAATCGAAATCAAGTTTGTTGGCTGGAATCTGTTGCCGTTAGGCGGGGGGTAACGAATCGGGTGGTTGGTAATGTATACTAGACAAGAATGAACCGGAGTGCAGATTACCTTTATTGGACGACCTGACGCATCAGCAGTGTCTGGTCTGAAAAGGAAGGAACAGAGAAATTGATAGTTGCCCAAGTAGAAAAAACAGCATGCGAGTTGGAACACGGCAAAGTTGAACAAAACAGGAAAGTGTTTGTAGCGGATACGACTAGTTGGCGAACAAACCAAACATACCTGTCTGATCCAGGCTCTTCTGTTTCCGAGACTGAAATAAAGATAAACCTGATCACGAAAAGTTTCCGTGAAAAACACTAGACAGCACACCTAGTAGGAAAATGAATATAGCTTAACCCGTGAAAATAAGTGGTCCACACAATGAATCAAGTGGTGCCCCGACGGGTGTTCTCCCCAGTCCCAAAAGCTAAACGTCAAAGTAGCCAGGCGATAAGACGACATATTCAAACTAAACGGAAAAGTTCGCCCTCAAACAATTTATTCGGCCGTTCGCTACACCAAAGACTAAATGACTCCCTATGTCGTTAACCGATCAGACTCAAATAACGTTTTGGTTCATACAGTGGCGATCGAATCACTAACCTTTAGCAAAACAGCTGTAACTGTCTAGTCAAGTCCATTTTCGCAGTTCGATAAACCAATCAAATCTCACTTGACCCTAACTTTGATTACATGCTCCACTGTGCAAGTTCACTGTGGCGTTTTTGGATGACTGTAGACCTAATCCCGATCAGATGGTACTATCCTGTGTAATAAAGAGGGCTGCACACCGTAGGAAGCACTTTTTGTAAGGCATTTCTTGTCGCGTGTCGGAAGTTATTTGTTCTTGAGGAGCATCTTACAGTAGATTTTCATGAGTCACCACAGCTAGCTGTTTCAGCGGAGATGGCTGCTAATTAGAGGAACTAACGTGGTAGGAGTAGTAAAATCTGAAGACAAAACTAAAAAAAATAAGGTTGATTCGAAATCAAAACGAAGGTTAGCTGATCCATCGGTGCGTAGAAAAGATGGGACAACACTGCCTGACAGCTGGAGCAACGGTGACATGACCATACGAAGACAACATCAAACTCGCCATTCTGAACATCTTGACATTATGAGGATGTAGTTAAATTGCAATGCAACACAACAAGGAGCACAAGAGCAATCACTCACAATGCCGCCTAGATGACCGAGAAAAGCCTGAAGGTTCCATCGTTGCGTACATAGATTGAGACATTAGGTCGTTCGCACGATTCGATGCAGATGACCAGTGATTTTCATTTCTCTGTTCTTCGTCAGACGAGTCATCGGAAGAGATTGGGGCGGACGACGTAACACCAGTAACCGAGCAGCAATCGCAAGTGTTTCCGGTCATTGGACCATGATGCGGACAGATGTTCACGTTCTTATTCGACTCTGAAGAACCGGCTACTGAGATGACATTGTCCACAGTGTCCAAGGGTAGTCCAGCATGTTGCATTGCTAATCGGAGCACCTCCAGTTCCTGTTGACGCTCTTGTTCCCACACTGAAAGAGTGGCTCGTAGCTGGGCTTCGCTGAGCCGTAGACGATTTACTTGTAATGCGCGGGTAATTGTATCCTCATAAAGCTGACCGAGAAGAAATCGTGATTCGGACAGTGTACAGTTGGCAAACAATGTGTGGACCACTGCTGAACGCGCAGAGACGAACTTCGCACGCGAAGCTGGAGCAGCATTAGCAATTTTGGGACCAAATTTGTCCAGTTCAATTATGCTCGTCTGGCACTCTCGGATGGCCTCCTGAACCGAATCCAACTGGGCAGTTACGTTACGGATCTGAATAGGGACAAAAAGATGTGAGTTGGTGAGATTTAACCAACGGTACGAATAGCGGGGCAGATGAGCTTCTTACGTGTGAATGATATATCTAAGGAGGAACTAACCTGCTCATCAAAGGCGGTTATACGGGTAATGTCCTCCTGTTCCGGTTCATCTGGTAATGCTTCCTCAACCCTAGCCCGACGGCGTTGTAATCGCTGTAAGCGACGACTTAAGTGCTCACGTTCACGGATCCAAGTCTGAAGATCATGTTCAAGTCGAGATGAGGTCTGGCGTCGCTGCACTTCTAGCTCCAATTGTTTCACAATGTGAGTCCACTTTGCTTTAACTGAGGTGGAAGGCTGAAGGCGTACATTAATTCGACCTTGGGCAGGCATCTGGTCGTCAGCATGCATACTCGTAGACATGAGGTTACCTGCTGCCTGACGACGCATGCTTGCTGTGTTCCGAGGAGAACTAGTTCCTCCGATGTAGCTTCGGGTCATGCGACTAGAGGCCATTGAAGACAGCTGACGCTGTTGCGCTAGCGTTTTTCGCTTCAATGCTTCCAACTGAAACATGTTCAAAAATAAGATAAGTCCAGACAACACTGACAGTGAGAGCTGGGTGAGTGAAATAGTGTCATGAAATGTGATGAAGTAGAGCAGAGAGAAGAATTCTGACTGCTAAACGAAACTAAAGTCTTACCTCAGCCTGCTTTTGCTGCAAGGCACGTTCCTTTGCACTATGAGCGGCTTCGAGACTGCGGATCTGGTGGTCTGCTTGTGTTTTGGCTCGTTTCAGCTCCATCACTTGCCGAGCCGAAGTGACCTCCAGCTGGCGCGTTCGCCTGGTCTCTTCTTGCAAACGTTTCGCTAGGTCGACTTTGTACCGCCTTAGTTCTTCTAGTTCTTTACGAAGCTGACGAAGTTCATCGTTCTTCTTTGCTTGTTCCCGCTCCAGACGTGTATGGTCGCTTTTTGCCTGCTGCAGCTGTTTTAACGAATCCTGAGGGAATATTTGAAAAAAGTCGGAACAGTGCTAGTGAGGACAGATGGAATACATGTGGAATCGTTGAGAATTTGCCAATAGCGCACCATATAGGACACTGGAAACAATGGTTTGCGAATTCGGGCCATAACAGTACATTGAAATTGGGTTACTTGACATGACCAAGCAGATAAATTCGCTAAAAATGTGGAGAAGACTTTGACTGACAAAACAATACATTAAGGTTAGGTTAGGCGCCCCGTGTTCATTCGTCTTACAATGAAAACACTGAGCTGTTAGTTTCCGATGAAAGTAAAACGGCTCGACTGAGTGCCTAGGAGGTTTTCACTGGTGTCTTAGACATATCCGTAAGAAGCAAGAAGCGTTGGTCACAATGTACACCATTCATCACAAAAAATGTCAAAAGTTCGTATCCAAATACTCTGCGTTGATGGCATTTTGCTTTCGATGTTACGGAAATCGCAGATGCAACACCCCCCACCGGATATTGCAAACGGTAACACCAGTTCTGATACGAGTGCTTCAATGGGAAACGAGTAAAAGGTGCGAAGCAGAGGGATTCATTCTATCATTGTCACTTTTCAGAAACTCAAGTAACCTCCCTATAATTCAATATGATGTAATAAATATAATATATCATATTATATCATAATATAAGTAGGAGACCTTAGTTTCTACTCAAGTGGCGCTGTAAAACAGGGACCAAACACGCTCGAAACTTTGGTGAGACGAAACCACAGTTTTACTTTCAATTAAGATAATATCTGGGAATTTGCTGATGTGCTCCCAGTTAAGGTCTGCTAATATTATTGCAAGGCTTAAGGCTTTTTTCCATCATTGCTAAAACCATGAGGTAGCCTGCACCACTGTATTACTTTCTACCTCTTCAAAATCGGAAATAAATCGATAAATACCTAGGTAGTTTTCCTACCTGAAAAACTCTTCGCGATACTATGTGGGTATTTTGGAAACTTCCAGCCTATTCAGATCCCAACTGCAAAGCAACAGCTCGAGAAATCGAATTCACTGATCTTGCTCTCTCGGAATGGGACATAAAAAACGAATATCCAAAGAAGCTAAGGAAGTGGAGTGTCAGAATTGTTTAGGGTTGTAAAAATAACTGCGAAAATTTTGGATGTCTTTGGCCCCCAACCACCCGAGAGTAGTGACTCTCGGGTGGTCGGTAAAATTGCAAAATATGGCAGGGCACCGATATTAATGACTTCATTGACAAGGTTCCTAAAGAGACCGTTTGTGTGTTTGGGTGTCTAGCGATTAAACATTCAGCATTAAACATTCCCCCATCCGATTTTCCGTTGCTCAGGAACTTGACAAATTAAAACCGCGCAGCGGCGAATGCAAGAATACAGCAGTTTTTGGCTACTTTGATTAGTTAGATGAATGGGGCCAGCCTACCTGAAGCGAACTCAGTTTCTTCTGGAATTCCTCCTGAGTTCGACGTAACCGCTCCTCCCCGATGTGTTCCAAATTGGCCAAAACCCTGTCCCGTTCTTTTTCGGTTTCTCGAATGCGCGTTTCCAAATCATTCAATTTTCTTTCATAGTGCTGTCTTAGATGATCGAGTTGCGCTGCCTTCGCCTGTAATTCCGCCAGTAGACGTTGTTTTGAATCGATTTGTGAGGAAACCCGCGCAATACTCTGGTGTAATTGTGCTTCATTCTCGGTGGGGTCAGCCTGGTGGCTGGAATCATCGCTATCATCGTCACTGTCTGCGGTTGAAACAGCAGGCGCGAGTGGAACAACGAACAGAGGGAAACGTGATGAAGCTTTAGTAAACTTCACACTAACCAGGACTACATTATGCCTGAGGGAGCATTATAACCAGGCAGCACTCCAATTGCTTTAATCATGTCAAAACGAACCACTCAAGAATAAATGCATAAAATGTTTAGTTTCAGGAGAACACGCGAAGTGAAAAAACATGTGGAAGCATACCATCAGAACCGGAAGAATCAGATGAAGATTGTACATCTGAGGCATCCGACAATGTACCATCCGCGTATTTTTCGGTTGCTTTAATACTGTGAGTCAACCCGTCTTCATCAACTTGCTCCCCTAGAAGCGTTGCCTCTAGTGCGTCTGGGTCTTCGTTCTGTGTATAAAAAATGCGCAGATATCGAAAGCAACAATGGGTTTGTTCATTACAGCAAATGTTGGTGAAGATCAAAGAAAGCCACAGTAAATAAGCACTCTCACAACATGTCATAGTGATTACCTTCTTCTACGATAGTGTTGGGGATACGAAAGAAGATTCGGAGAGTTTGTGTGACCGGTGCGGTCCGCCTTCAAGTATGGGTCTATATCCCCTCAGCTGCACCTGGCTGGAAACACTGTAAGCAATGGCATTAACCGATGTCAGTGACGTTCGTGTTGGCAGTTTCTCTCCAGATTTTCTGATTGAGCGCACCAGGTCACTCGTCCAATCTTTTGTCTTCTTTTCACTTTAAGGCTGTAAGTTATGTTTTGTGGTTGTACAACTGTGAAGCATCAGTGTCAACACTGATGTTGCCGTTTTGATGATGATCATTTGTTATGCATTTTGCATATTTTGGAATCACGCGATGCGTGGGACGAATCAACCTTACGGTACCTATCTGCTGCACCTCCGTCCTAACATTTAGTTTTCCCTAGTACCATTGCATGCTTTATTTTTTCTAAGGTTGCATGTGTTTTCAATCTCGAGCCAAGAAGCCTGTTAAACTGCTGTGTTTCGAATGTTATTGAAGATTATCGCCAGGAAGGTGTCATTTTTTGGTTAACTGCGCACGGTTGCCAAAAAACGTGGATTCATACATCTTTTGGTGGGTATGTGACAGAGTTGGAGACTGAGGCATGCAGGGAATTACTAGAACGACAATGAATGGTGCCAGGTTCAGCTCTTAGTACCGTTGCCAAAACAGTGTTAAATCAAAAGGTACGAAAGTCCAGAGACCACTGGAATAGAGCTGCTGAATCACAAGGGACATGCACACCAGGCCATGGTACGGATTTGTTTTGTTATGTGGTTGTGAGACAGCCTGTGCAAGCAGTCGAACTGCGACATCCTCAGGTCTTTCATGAGCAGAGTCCCAGAACCTTAGCTCGTGTAGGCTGTTGCTGGTGAGTCCGCAACCAGGTAATCATAAAACGAGTATTCGGACTTCAATCCAAGAGTGTGTCCAGCATCAAAGGCTACAATGTTCTGGTTATGCATTGCGCATCCTGAATCATCGTTTACCAGGAAGGAGTGCTCAATTTAGTGGCGTAAGCAGAGGTGGTCAACCTTCCACCTGGTAGAGGGGTATGAAAGTGATTGAGAAAAGTTCAGTGAGTCGGTACTACTGGCCTTCCGTGATAGGGCCCGGGTGACTCCCACCCCATGCAACGGATAACGAAAACTCAGGAGATAGAGAAGGTTTTAGCTACCGGAAGCATCCGCGCCCTATACTAACTGATACGATCGAATGACCATAGAAAAGCAACATTGTACGAAACGGTAAGTGAAAAGGGCGGCTCATTAATTCACTCACAAACGCATCGAACAGATAAGTTGGCCTCCTGCAGCACAGTCTCTGGATATACTGCATACGGGTCGAATGGAATGTGGAGCAAACGTGTATCCCATAAATTCTTGCCCCTCCTACTGTACACCAACTACCGCAGATTCATAAAGGTTTACGAGAACCTCTCGCTTGAACTCACCACATCAAATGGTGTCAGATAAGGCTACCATTTTTCACCTTTTCTCTTCAACTTCGCCAGCCCCTTGGACGAAATGCCTCCAGGGCATTCGCTCATCAGATGACATAGCTCTTCTCGGATCCATCCTGATGCAGAAGACACTAAATAATCTAAATAATTCTGCCTCACGGTTTGGCACGCGCTTGACACCTGCAAAGTGTAAAGTGCTGCTTCAGTACTGCGTGGGCTCGAACCCCAATCTCACGCTTGCAGATGAGCTGATTGGAGTAGTAGACGAATATGTCTATCTGGGCAGCCATATCAGTTTCGATGGTCTAGCCAGAGATGATAGTTCCATCCGGATTGGGAAGGCCAGAGCAGCTTTCATGAAGTTGCACAACCTGTGGCGTAAGCATGACATCAACTTATCCCTCAAAGGTAGTGCGTTCTATGTTATTATTCGGGTCAGAAACCCGGAGGCTGAGCTCTGAGAATGTCAAGAAACTTTCAGTGTTTGACGACTTCGAAGAATTGCTTGCGTTTGGTGGGAACAACAAATCAGCAGTGCTGAGGCACACCAAATGGTTTTCGGAAGAAATAACTCATCCACCATAGATGTACTGATCACAGCTTGCGTTGGCCAGACAGCGTGCTCCCCGAAGATCCAGGTAGCCAGGCAGCAAAGTATCAAAGCCGTTATCAGCTAATTCAGCTGTGCTGTCCGTCGCCGTCTCCCCGGATGGGGAAAACGAAACGAAACACATCAATCGTTAGAGACATTGTCCAAAATGGATCAGTCGCGCGCTCAATGGCGTTTATGCATCCAGGCTGTTGCCTCCGGTGCATAGCTCCATATCCGATCTCCCCAGTGAAGAGTACACTGATACCCCCGTATCTACACACCAATTCTAACAGCTACCAGATCCAATGCGTATCCGTCCACCCCACCTATCTAAATCATCGGCGAAGAAAACTACGGCAGCTATAGCCGCGATACCGCAAGTACGCAATTTACACAGTTGAAGATGATTCAAGGTATGGTGGTTTACCGATGTCAACAATGTTGTCCTAGACGATCGTCCTAGGCTAGGTCTCTTCCACCATTCACTTTTATTCTTTCCTTCAAAATACGGCTTTCGAATAAATTATGGCTGTACAGTAGCAGCGCACTATCGTTGAAAACTACCATGAGATTGGCATTGGGTAACACAACGACCGGTATCTATCTGTTATACAAATGACGGTGAATACATGGATAGGGTATGACGAATGACAGCTGTTTAGAACGACCATCGTGCAGATGAAACAAAACATGACTAATAGAAACTAAAATTATGGACCGTTCATAATAGGTGCAAGTGTGGTGACTTCACAGCTGTTGTATGATTTTCCTCCAAAATGACCACAGTCCACATTCAGCGTCCATTATATCTAGCCATGTTCCGTACTGAAGTGGTGCACCACTATTCATTTTAACAATGTTTAAACGGACCAAAAACATTCGCATGGATATCACGGTGCATACGATGCAGTAAGCTGTTCGAAATTCTAACCCTCAACATCTTCCTTCATATTCACCGTCCTGTTTCCACTGCACATTTATCCGTTAAAATGAACACTTTCTCTCCGGAGAAAAAACGAATAATGTGGACTACCACCACACCAAGACGGGGAGCAAGTTTCCCAATAAGTAAACACAAATACCCTTTTGCACGTTCTGCTTAGCCATGTGGTGATTCAAGTTTGGCCTTGTTGAGTGGCCACGACAGGCAAACCGAAGAGACTACCAAAAAAGGCCACGTAACAGCCATTCCTAGGGGGTCGCCCCCAGCTTCCTCGGAAATTCGCATCGCCTCCCCCTTAGTCACAAGCTAACAGCAAAATACAACCACCGGGCATCCCACACAAGCGCAAGTGAGCGAAATCCGTCTCCGATTCTTAATGCGGCACGCCCACAATGCTCGTATCAGGTTAACGAACCAATCATATAGTATCATATAGCTCGTGTCTGTCTGTCGTCATCTGTAGCAAACGCTTGGGCTGGTGGGTGTCCAGAGCGTCGAACATCAAATGTAGACTTATCGATCACAACGATCACTAGGCCGTCGTTTGGATTACGTCAATCCTACCGGGGCAAGGTTCCGTCCCTAGGCTCAAGCACATGCATAACATTTGCTTGTGTAAAAAGAACGCGGGGATTCTAAACGAGGAGAGTTCCATCATATTTTCAAGCAATTGAAAGGAGTGCAAGCTTGAGCGATAAATGCAGTGAGAAACGAGACCCCTGTCATTGTGCGTTGGGAACCGAATGTAATAGCGGCAGACTTTTGAGACCAGAAAATAGCCTAGGAGATCAACCAGAAGTCGTCTCTTGGGAAGGGTGATATGTCTATAGAGGGACAGCTGAAGAGGTAAATGTATCTAAGGAAGGTGAGGAGGAATCCGATCGACGATAACAGCGGAAGATCGTCGAAGCACGGACGACAAAATATTCTGTTTATCTAACAAGTATCGCCTTATGGTATTATGACAGGACGAACACATCAGTATCAGTGTATCGATGGAACCGGACATCCTAAATTCACATACCTCGGATTTTAATTACGAATGCGAGTCACATTATTGATGTATCGGTCAGAAGTACAAAATATATACGAAATAGGCGGAAAATTTGATCTAGTACCTCCATAGCAAGATGATCGCATAAGTTGATTGCTGTTTCGTCCCCGGCACCGTAGCGTTCAGTGAGTTCATCCTCTTCGAGATCGGTATAGCATTCTCCATTCATGGTTAGATCTTCGGAATTTTCGCGAAGTTTGTCATCCTCCTTTACAGCACCTGAAACAATCGTAATGAATAAATCAAGGAATAAAGGCCTGCAAAGTGCCCATCATCTATTCGGAGCACCTGCCTAAACGACAACAATCAACAACCGATCGCTCAGATAAACACTTCCACAGCAAAGCAATCAAGAGGACACAGGTGAATCACCGTGTAAAAGTTAAGCGAAGCAATAGAATGTTCGAATTTGTTCAATTTTCTACTAAAACATTTTGGTGCAATAATTCCATGAGAAAACATACCGGTTTCGTGAGTTTTGATTGCGGCTGAATCAGAGGGTGGATGGGGTTCACCATTTGGTGTTAAATCATTGAGTGGTTTTCGAGCATCAATCACTGGACCCTCTTGTTGCTGCTGTTGGGTCTTTTTGCTTTTTGACTTATTGCGCCTATGTCGACGACGATGCGATTTGTGTCGGCCGGACTCTGGAACAGACGATGCTACTATCATCGTTGACTCCAATCCAATGTCATCATCCAGGTAAGTATTGGCAGCCGACAGTCCGGCTTCCGCGGCCGCAACTGTGCTGGTGTCTAAATCGGGGAATTCGCTGTTACTCAGAGCTACGCGGTTCAATGGACCAAAGTTGTTGGCGCTCGAAAAGCCCAGGCGCCCAGGCTGACAGGGTGAAGTGTACGTAAGCGGTCTTTGACTGAATTCAGCAAGCGCTTCGGCTTCCGCTAACTTGGTCCTGAATTGAAAATAAGATGGCTGGTTTCCAGTAAGTGTGAAAATGGCGTTTTAGTGTTGCTCGACTGAAGTGAAAACACAGAGTTGTAAGCATGGTAACCAGAAGTCAACAGTGCTCGTGAAGATTCGAAGTCAGAAGGCTGACTTCAACTAGTTACGAAATGACCAACCCAAACAACCAAAGGTTGAAAATCAACGATCATTTGGCAAATCATCCAGTCATGAAAAACCAAACCATGCGGAAGAGTCTTACCGATTCTCTCCACAACTAAAACCTAAGCTTATGATAGGAGCCAAAGCCACGAAGAAAGTCAGCAGGAAGAAATTAGCGAACGGTTGTGAGCAACCAAGAGGAGAAGAGAACATCTGATCACTGACCCGAAAGGTTGACGATCGAGCAAAATACGGGATTTCAACAGACCTTCACATAATCCCTATCACTTCATTTGGGATGCTTTGG